TCCTCGTTGTGGCAAATGGCCATTGGGGAATCTGAAGAGGTCACAGTTTCATGCTCTGACAGGCTACAGCCATGGTTACCAGAAATGCAGTGATTCAAGAAGATTTGACAGGATTCTGCACTGTTTGAAGCTGCGAAGAGAGAAAAGAAGAATAGATGAGGCCAACCTTGTCTGGTTTGAACCAAGGGAAAGACAGACCCTGTAGAAGTCTTTTGCTACCACTGTAAATCATTACCTTTCAATAGGTCAACTTGGATTGATCTCAAAGACACTGTTGTAACACACTAAAACGTAGGTGACAATATGCTCAGAACATATAGGACTCTGTTGAGAAGACCTCAGTTAGTCTTATGTCATCTCCCTGCGGACTCCATGGGTCTCTGCAGAGCCTTTTATGAACTCAATGTTTACTCACCAGGGATGAAAGAATTGTCTTAATAATCGAGAGATGCCCTCTGATGTAGATCCAGCTTTGCTTTGGGCCTGCAAAGACTTCAATCACTGTTTTTCAGCAATTTAGACCTCTTGCACTTTTCACTCTATACTCTGGTTTCAGGAGTAGGTCTCAACTGGGTAAGAAGCCATTTTTACAGTGCTCCCAGTCAAGACTAGAGAGAGAAGTAACCAAGAAATCTGGAAGAAAAATGCATATGTTTCAGATTTTCAGCTGGTGTATACAGATAGAAAAAAAGGCCGTGGACATGCATACTAAATAACTAACACACACACACACACACACACACACACACACACACACCAGTCAACATAAGTTGCTCCAGAAATCCCAAACCCAGCTACCTCAAAATAAAGAGTTATTCAAGGAAACAAGGGTAAACAAAGTATTGACATATTGCTTCTGATGACTTGCTGAAACAAATGTGGCCATGTTTCAAGTGCTCCATTATCTTCTCACCACTCTGGAGCTAGACTGATCAAATTTTACAAGCCCGTCTCCAGGATTCACGTCCCCTAAAGAAATATTCCAAGTTTCTCAAAAGTAAGAGCCAACTAAAGCGATGAAGTTGCCGGCATTCTTACAGCTAAACCCTGGAATAAGGATAGTCTAGGATTTATGATGAAGAGGATTTATTAATTTAAAAGTAAAACTTAAAAAAATAGAAAGCCTAAACCCTCAATATCAGGAGAAGGTGTTGCCATTTTTGTTCTTCACACTTACCTATTCAGAAATTGTACAGCCATGAGTCCTTAAAGAGAGAAAAGGGTACATAGAACAGACGTAACACAATCCAGTTAAACCTGCGTCTGTACTTCCATCTGCCCATGCGTTAGTCTGTCTGTCTGTCTACAAAACACTAATGAAGGGATCAGTAACGTGAAGTCAGCAGCTGCTGATGAGCTCAGATACGAACCAAGTCGTAGACCAAGGCTTATTATTTTCTTTAACCAGCCTCCAAAGCCTTCTAATAAATTATAAATAGCATTCTGGTTAAGTTTGGGGCTTTGCCATTATAGAGCACTAAGATCCAGATGAAATCTTATTTTTACCATTTGCTACCTTACCTTGAACAAGGAAAGTAAAGTCCTCCCAAGGCTGTTTTAAAGATTAAACAAGGTAATTTAGTATTCAGTTACCTTGGGTGCCCAAGATATCTTGCGTATCTAGTATGTTGTTAGTTCATAGTAGGTACTTGATCAATTTTAGCAACTAGTCCTATTGGAGACTGCTACCAGGGTGGCCAAAGTGGTCAGCTGCTAAGCAAAAGGTCAAGTTGCTCAAACCCACCAGCCCTCTGTGGGAGAAAGCTGTGGCAGTCTGTTTCTTTAAAGATCATGCCCTTGAATTGCTATGAGTTAGAATCACCCCAGTGGCAATGGGTTAGGGTTTAGTTTGGTATTAGTATTATGAATAATAGAATAGTCTAACAAGATTAAATTAATTTGCTTAGTATCTAGTAGTGTAAGATGATATATTATAAATACACAAATTAGAAGGTTAAGTGTGTGCTTATTTCAAATGTGATACATTTTCATGTATAATTAGCATATACATTATTTTAATTCTGTATCCCTTCTCTAGGACCCTAGACCTTATTGAGCATCTGGGTACAGACCAGAGAGAATGAGTAACAAGAAGAGTAGGGTGGGAAGAAGCAAAGAGGAGTGGGAGAGGCAGCCTTGATGGAGAGTGTGAAAGGAGTGTGTGGGAGAGAGTTTTAAGAAGTAGCTTCCAGTGTGACAGGGAGAGATAGAGACAAGTAAAGGGAAAAGTGAATCTTGAGAAATTCCTCTTGAGAGCAAATTTAGCTTTGTGAGTGTTTCATCAGTATTGATGGCTGACAGCAGTGATGCTCTTTGGGAGAGACCAGTAAAAATCGGAATTACTACTTTATTTTTAGTCGCAGGACTGTTTTTCTCCCCTTACAAAAGTGTGCCAAATGTAGGCCATAAAGAGGTCTAAGATGTTTTGGGGTAACACGTGGACATAGAGACAAACCCCATACTTAAAAGTGTTTCAGAAAGGCAGCACATACCGGTAATTGGAATGTTTGGGGCAAGCATGGGTGAGCTGATAGCACAAAGACTCAATTCCTGGGATTCCTCAGACAATATGGTAGCTGTCTGAAAGCTTGATGTATCCTGAAGATTGTTGGGGCAGGGGAGAAGCAGGTACATTTTCTCCTCTAGACTTTGCATTCTCTCTATAGACTGCCATCTGCTGGTTTGTGATGCTGTTGATTGGTTACTGACGTGGACAGTATATTTTAGGTATGGACATTTCTAGGGGAAAAATTCTTGGGAAACATTGCTGTTTGTATTATTTACAATAGGAGTGTCAATTCACATTAAAATCAGAAAAAATAAATAATACCAAGAGGAAAACAAGAACATTTTCTATATACTAGAAATGATAATAATTAGAATAAGTTACCATTTGTTGAATAACTTTATAAACAGAAATACCTATGGTCAGAGAGGTATGTAATTTGCCCAAGGTCACAAACATAATAAGTAGTGAAGTTAGGCTTAAACCTCAGGCATTGCTTCCCAACGTGCTTAATCATCATGCTCTACTACAAAAACAAAACAAATCAAAATCCACTTTCATTTTCTAAACTGTGTTTATAGTCCTACTCAATGTAGAGAATCTTCAATGCAAAAAAAAAAATATGCAAAGAAAATAGAAATATCTGTATTCTTATTCCCAGACATAATCGTGGATAGTGTTTTAAGTTATTTTCCTTCCATCTTAGTTCTTTGCTGATGTATAGCTTCACTCAGTTTTAATTGTTTTGTTTTTGTCCTTTCTATGCTTCTTCTCAATCAAAAAGAACGAGTGCCCCTGTTTAAATACCAGAGAAAGTGCCTTGTTACTGCTTCTAAATTACCAAAAGACTCAAAGCCTTCAATCTCCTGGCTCTGCCTTTTCGGTCACTCAGCCTGTCTCCTCTCTGATCTCCTGAAACCATGATCTCCAAATTACCTTTCCCTGCTCACGCCTGAGCTGCCTGTTATACCAACTAGACATTCTTGTGGATACATCTAATTAATCCCTGCAGGCTACCGTGAGAAGTAACTAATTTAACAACCTGGTTCTTTCATAAAGTCGGGCATACAGACACTGTATTCAAAACATGAACCCAATAGTTACAAATTAATCCTAATTGATTTATTTACAATTACCATACTAAACCATGAATCCTAGTTAATGACAGAGGCAATGGTTAGGCTCTTTCAGGCACTGATTTAAGATCTAGATGGATCTGAATTTTTATTCTGGATCCATCGAGTTTTAGCTGTGAAAACTACTAACTTTCTAAGCCTCGAATTTCAGCAGTTATAAATTGGGGAGAGCCAAAAAGTAAAGCTAATTTTTTCATAGCTGGTATAGGATGAGATTATAGAAAGGATGTAGAACACCCAGAAATAGTCAGTGTTCAACAGAAGATAACTCTTTCACTGTGTTAAAATCTATGCTGCTAATTAAATTTATTATGTTGTGTAATATGTTAAAACAAATTACTGGTCGTGAGAAAAAAAATACATGCGATAAGAGCATGTCAAATGACCTAACATTCAAGGTAACATGGGTTTATCTCTGCTTCCTTACTAATCTGCAGTGAACAATTTCATTTTTTCCCCACCACATCAAAGATTCTGCTTCTAAATATGACTGGTATTTATCTCTCCCCCAACCCGATAGCACCTTTCTACAGAATAAAGCATGACAGGGCCAGTAAGCAAGGTAAGCATGAGCTGATCAGGTTTACTGGCCATTCTGTAGTGAATAATTTCACAAGTTTCCCCAAAGCTTACCTTGATTGGGTAATCTACCCCTGGAGCAGAGAGAGGGGAGCCCATGGAGTTGTAAGAGATATAGCACTGTATTTAAAATTAGCTTGAGCTTGCTCTCATGATTCAAAGCAATTCACTAAATAAAACCAAACCTGCTGCCGTTGAGTCCCTTCTGATTCAAAGCAACCCTATAAGACAGAGTACAACTGCCCACTTCCGCTTTCCAAAACAGAGCATGCTCACAGAAGCACAGTGCCACATCTTTCTCCAGTGGAGCAGCTGCTGGGTTCAAACCACTGACCTTTAGTTTAACAGTCTAGCACTTCAGCCCTGCACCACTAGGGCATCATATTAAACGTGATGAGGCATGCATAAAACAAAATGAACTTGGCACTTTCTAGATCCTTGGCAGTCGAATGCCACTGGATGGCTAATTGAATAGTTCAAGCTTTAATTCGAAAATTACTTCACGAAATGTAATTCTTCCCATCAAATATAGTTCTCACCCACATGATCACATTTAATCACCATTCATTTGTTGTAACTATTCTCATACTAGGAGCCTCTAGCTACATATGAGCTCTGTATGCAATTACAGCAAAGAAAAACAATGATAAAAGTGAAATGGAAGGGCCGTGTAAATTCTATTCAGAAAGACAAAACGAATGCAAGATCTGCACACATAGAAAAGAAAAATGAAGTAGTAACAACAAAGCAGCAAAACTACAAAATTATATCTATTCCCCCAGGGGAAGGCATACTCCTGTCCCCCACTAGAACAGACTATGCGTCCGTCCACCTTTCAACGGGTGGCAGCATCTCAGGGTCAGCACATCCAGGGTAAAATGGACGAGTCTCATTCCGGGAAACCACTGTCACAATCCTAGTGTCTTCCCTGCCAGGTAAGTCTAAGCTAAGTTTATATTTTGAAAGGGGAGGGGAGATAATAATAGAAGAGGCACTCTCTGTAAATACAACGAGCCAGGATTGGAAGTCTGTGAAAAATGAGATGGCATAACCGTAAGCCCAGCTATTGTGCCGCTGTGCATGTTTGGGGATTGGCCCTTTGCTGACTCTCAGGAGAGAGGAACGTAGAGTCAGAATAGCGCAAAGGGCAGCAGAGCTCAGGATACGTGAAAGTGTAAAGCAATACACTTGCTTTGCGTCAACTCCCACTCGTGGCAAACCTGTAGGTGTCCGACTAGAACTTTGCTTCACGAGGCTCTGAATGGCTCATGGTTTAGAAACAGACTGCTAAGCGTGTCTTCTGAAGTACTTCTGGGTGGACTCAAACCAGTAACGTTTTGGTTAGCAGCTGAGCTGTGTTAATCATTTGCACAAAAGAGAACTCCCCTGTGGACGCTTGGCTTTGATGTTTTTCTCTGGCAGAATGTGGCTGTCAACGATTTGGTCCAGTTTAACAGACTTCAGAACAGAAGCCATCAGATGAGCTCACCACAAGCTTCCCAGGTAAGTCGTGCGTGAAACTTTGATGTGTCTGCCAGGAAGGCGGTTGGGAAGACCCTCGTTAAGGCCATCCATTTAAAGACCTATGAATCTAAGTTGTCCAGGAAGATTTAATCATCCATAGAAAGACTTGTCCTGACTTACCTTACTGGTCTCAAGATGCTCTTTCCTCCTCCGGCCTTTGTTTACTGTCTCCCTCCCACCCACCACCCTCTTTGCGGTCTTCATACCAGTGATGCCCGAGAGGGGGCAATTTCTGAGGAAGTGGTTCCCCAGCATGGTGTGGTTGTGCCATTTATCCTACCAAGGTCTCGGTGACAAGTGCGGTAATTAAAAATGGAAGAAATGCCAACAGCAAGAGCAGATTGGACTGAAAGAATGATGACTGGGCTCAGGAGATTGCTTGCTTTTCTGGCGGGAGGCTCTGCAGTGTTTGGGTCCTGGCCTGTAACAGGGTGTGAGCTGAAGCCTTCGCAGATAAATACATGTCTCCTTGGGGCTGATTTACGCTCCACATTGCTCCTTGTGCGGTGCTGTCCGGCCAGTCTGGCATCTGTAGGAATGAATGGCCTGAGATAGAAGCTTAGCATTTGAGTTGAGATAACAGTTTGCCGGTCCCAGAAGGAAATGTTTAGTATGTGACTAGAAGCTGGATGAGCCCCTGTGTCAAAGCACACACCCAAATGAGGAAAATTAGGACACAGAAATTCACAGACAATGATGTCCCCATGTTCCTGAAAGCATCACGCATGTCAAAGGGAAAGAAAACACTGGAAGCCATGTGGGCACTGCTTTTCACTTAGGAAAAAACACACACTCATCTGGAATGTTCGAGGTGCCACAAAGAAAGACCAGAATGGTTTTTTTTCTTCTCCCTAGTCTCATTTTCTCCGAGTCTCAGCCTGAATTCAGGGGAGAAAAAAAAAGTACTGCTGTTCAAACAGAACCTCTGCTGGATTTCTTTTCTCTGTCAAGTTGTAAATTGCTTTGAAAAGCTCTTTATTAATTTTAATTTCACCAACATTTCATCAGTAATTATGTATGGCTTATCACACCTGAGACGAGGTTGCTGGTGATACAAGGTAATTTAGAGGAACTATTGTTTTATCTTTAAGAAATATTACTTCCTAATCAAAGGAATTATCTATCTTGGCTCTCTGGGAGTCTTGAAAATAAAGTGAAAGCCGGAACAGGGTTTTCTCCGTTTAAATCGTAGCAGATCTAGAGGTAGGGACCAGATGCAATTCATAGTCATGAGGTCTCCCATATACATCAGTTAAGAGAAGATTAACAAATGATCATCATTTACACGTGACTACCAAGCTACACTTCATAACAATTCACGCAGAACACAGGAAGAGCTAGACCTGGGGTTGCCATCAGACCATAGGCTCAAAGTCCCTGGTCACTGATCACTGTAGGTCAGATGTTTGATGTAAAGGTTATGATTACTGTAAGTTTTTATAAAGAATGAGCTACTAATATGACATTTTATTTTTAGAGAGCAATTAATGGCAACATCCTATTAAAATATTTATTTTATATTATCTTAATATTATTACAACATTGGTTGCTACTAAGGGCCAGATCTGGGCACTATAAATGAGTGTCCTTTTCAGTATTGTGGTGCCCATAACGATTCAAGCACAGGTTTCCCACATCAGGCGTTGCTAATAGCAAGAACTGATACATGCCATTAAACCAACACATACGGGTGGCAGTTAATTTATAAGCACATATATATATATATATAAGTATTTAATATTTAAAGGAAGTCTCCCCAAAGCTTATTTTCCTAAATCTAGCAAGTGCTACTGGTTGGGTGTGGAACCCTGGTGTAGTGACTATGCAGTGGGCTGCTAACTGCAAAGTCAGCAGGTGGAAATGCTCAGCCAGCTCCATGGGAGAAAGACAAGGAGGTCTTCTCCCATCGTGTGCTAGAGTCTGGAAACCCACAGGGGCTGTTCAACCCTGTCCTACAGGGTTGCTCCGAGGCCAACTGGACTGGATGGTCGTGAGATCGTATCCTTGGCCAGCGGTTACTTCCTTGGGGTCAGTCAAAAGAAGGAGATTTCCTTCATTTACACAGGTACTATTTCGACACCAAAGGACTTTAGGCAAATTGTTCTTTGTTGTCCCAAGTTCATGAGGTTCTCAGCATTGCCATTTTGTGCAGACATGTGTTGTTGAGTACTGTTTTACCATTATTAGGAGTCCACATTGAATGTTATCAAACTGGTTTTCTCATTTTGCTCCAATCATATTGTTTTTCTTCTTCAACTTGGTGGTCTTGATCTGCTGATCTTGAAATTAATAATCCAGCTCAAAATTATACTGGCCTAAGCACTTCAGTGTATTATCTTATTTAATCATTCAAATAACTTCATATAGTTATTATTATTGTTGTATTTAGTCTAGAGATGAAAAAAAAAGGCCAGAAAAGTTAGGTAACTCATTAGGAAATATGCTGAAATCTCTGAGATCTGTTAAGGACCTCCTTGAATTCCTGGATCTTAAAAGTTTCCATTTGTGACAGTGTGCAGTCTTCCCACTATTTGATTGCTGTTTGTTACTGGAAAATATTTGCGTTTTCCTTCTCTGACATGCTGCCATCGCTTAGGTTCCAGCTTTCGCAGGTTTTCTTATAATAAGTGGCAGCAGAGTTGGAATTCAGCTTGCTTCATTGTCGAACTGACGCTCTTGAGTATTCGGCATCTACTTCTACCAAACTAAGAGCCAAACTCACTGCCACGGAGTCGATTCTGACTCATAGCGACCCTAAAGGACAGGGGAGAACTACCCCTGGGGTGTCTGAGACTGTAAACCTTTACAGGAGTAGAAAGCCACATCTTTCGCCTGCAGAGTGACTGGTGGTTCCAAACTGCTGACCTTGCTGGTAGCAGCCCAACTCAGTACCCATTCACTTGATGGAGTGTAAATGGTCACTTTAGATCACCCCGTTCACCGCTTTTAAGGAAGCACCTTACAACATGCAATGAAACCTGTGCGAGCCAGAACATGACGGGACACCTTGTTTTTCCAGGTCTCGCAAGTGTTTTGCTTCTGACAGGGTGCAATTTATCACTTTTCCATCACTTGCTTCAGTGGAAAATATGGAGTGTTTGTGTCAAGTATATCATGCTTTCATGATGAAGGCAGGCCTTCAGAGTCCCGAAGCTCTATTTCCTGTCAGCGTTGCCATGCCATTGCATGCTGCCCAGGAGTTTACTGGGGGTGATTTGGAAAGGGAGAGGGGACTGGTTACTGATTTATCGACTGATGATTATCACACAGCTACGGGGACCCTTTGGATAGATCATGGCCTTATCTTCCCCAGGAAAAGAAAGGTGGACAGCTTTTGTCAAGTGCTGGTTAAGGGACTAGCTCAGCTTATGGGGGGACTGAACATTGCAAGTGGAGCGTGGTGGCACAGGTAAGTGATGAGTGGGCATCTGCTAAGGAAAAAGTGGATATGGATAGGTAGAAACAAGTCAGTTCAGGGATTTAACCTAAATGAAAAATCCAGACTGAAATCTGTTTCAAAGAATCACAAAATAAAAATAGATCTCTGGATATGAGTCTGATTAACTATAGAAACAGGGCACACACTCGGTCGGTTCTGAGAATAGAGCCAGGTAGAGAAAGGGTGCCCAGAGCAAGAAGGAGATGTTCTTGCGTACAGTCCAGAAAGAAGTCCTTGCAATTGCACTTTACCACAGTGGTGCCTACCAAGGGCTGGCTCTTTCCAATTTTTTACCTGGAAACATCAGAGGCACAAGAAGCTTCATACCTGCCTGTAAGGGATTCACCATGAATAGGAAGCATCTTGCATGAAGGCGTTTCTCTTTGTCTCCTGCAGCTAGGCAGAGGCTGATGTTTTTCCTTTGTGCAAAGTAAATTTAGTACAAAGTAAGTTTAGTACAACGTAACTGTAAACCCGCCCAAGGTCACACAACCAATGTGTGATGCTGGGATATGAACTGAAGTTTAGCTGCCTCTAATGTCCACACAGTGCCCATGACACAACACGCTTACAGAGACCTGTCTTCTAGCAAATGTCAGAAGAGTAAACACAAGCAAGAAACGCGATGAGCACCAACATGGCATCATTATTGACAAGTGTCATCCATCTGCCATTGGAGAGTCTGAGCAGCACTTCCGGTACATAATAGGAATACAGGTTCATTTCATTGCTGCTTGACTCCCCCTCCCCCCAATTTTATTTTAACAACTTTGTTCTCCTTTTTCTGTCATCAGTTGTATTCTAAAACACAGAATCTATTCGCTAGGGACTTTGTGGTTCTTATCACACAAGGAATCTAAATGCATCTTTAGTAGAACAGGAATTTTATTTCCTATTTCTGGTGAAAATGTTGTTAATATTTTCCTAGTGCAGACTCCATCCCATGGTTCTACAAACAGTTCTTACCATTTTAATTTTCT